AGGGTCAGAGCTGCTCCCTTTAGTGCGCAATAATAATTAAGTGCCCTCCGACGGATTCTGACTCCTGCCGACCCCTTCCGGGGTGCTCTGCCTACAGAGCTCTGGACGGAGGAGGCTCCCCGATCCCTTCTTCTGCCCATCAGCCACAGCTGGCATGAAGTGTGTGTGTGCGGGGGGGGGGCTTGAAATGCCCCCCACCAGAGCGGAGACAACACCACCCACCCAACCTGCTCCTGAGACCCCCCGGCAGCATCCCAGCTCTTTATCCCCCACCCCCACCCTCCGGAGACTCTCTAGTTGGCAAGCGCTGAGCAGGGCTGGGAAGGAGAAGCCCCTCTCTCTGGAGGTCAAGAACGCCTGGGGGAATCACAACACACACACACACACCCCAGCACACACACATCGGAAGGAAGCGCGAGCGACTCACACTGGCTGGAGGCCGAGGGTCCGTCCGTCCAGAAGGGAGAGGGTCCCCCGAGGAAGAAGAAGAAGAAGAGGAAGGAGGAGCGGGCGAAGTCGTCGGACCTCATGGCGCTCCTGTCCGGAGGCAGAGCCGCGTCTCCAGAGCCGAGAGAGAGAGAGAGGGAACCCTTTCCTTCTCCTTCCCTGTCCCTCCTCCCACAGGGGCTGGGCCAGGTTGGGTTGGGTTGGGTTGGGTCGGGTCGGGAGGAAAGCCAAAGAGCTCCGAGGCACGGCTGGAACACCTGGTCCCTCCCCGGTCTGGTGCGTGACAGCCAATTAGTAATCAACCGTTAGCATAACCGCGCGTGTGTGTGTGTGTGTGTGTGTGTGTGTGTGTGTGTGTGTGTGTGTGTGTGTGTCTGCGCGCGCGCGTGTAAAAGTGGGCTCGAAGCCCTGATGCCGATGGAGAGGAGAGTTCCGGGCCGGGATCCTACAGCTGTTCCCTTTTTAAAAAGTGACCCCTTCGAACGGCCTATGGTGGAGGGATGTCGGTCTTAAAGGAGGCCCTTCGGAGCTGCCTTTTCCCTGGACGGAGGGGCCGAGGGGCTGGCGCCTCCCGCGCCGGGGAGAAGAGGCGCCTCAAAGTCCAGAGCCGGGGATTGTCGAGGGCAGGCGCTCTTGTCCGTCACGACTCGGCCTGGAGGACGGAGACGGGCTCCCCTTTGGCCAGGGGTGTGTGGTGTGTGGGTCAGAGCCAGCTTGCACAGTGGAGCCGGCCGGCCAGGGCTCTCCAGAGGCCTCTGGGGGAGCTTGTAGGCTCAGGGCGCAAGAGCACCAGCGCCCGCCGGCTTGGACTTTTGCACGCACACATGTGTTATCGAGATTTGTTTCCGGATTCCCTATCCATTTTCCCCACCCGCCTCTCCTCACCCCCCCCCCCCGTCCTCCC